GAAGCACGAGTCGGACTGCTCACAAGTGGCGCCCTCTCAAGTGGCCTCTCGAAAACGACAGTGAGCTGGATTGTGTCAGGAATGTGTAGAAGAGTGGAGATGATGACAGACTATAGAAATCAGATATCCGGATAGAGGTTGTAGATCAGGATGGAGTCGCGGAGAATTTCGATTAGAGATGGGGAACCCGAATAGAGATAGGAGGTGGACATAGACGTAGGAGATACCCAGGTGGAAATTAGTGAGAAAGGAAGACTGAAACTGTTGAATGTTGCCTAAATAAAATGAGGTTTTTTATTATGTATTTGTTTGTTCGTGTAGGAGCTTGCGTGCATGGCTTCGCATGTGCATGGTCATGAGACACCCCTTCCTTGCACGATGCAGCTGGGAGCGAGGGGATGTTAGTGCTATGTGTACGGTTCATTGATGTTGCTCTGATGCAGTTATACACTATGAGGCGAGGGAGAGAGAGAGAGCAAGAGGGAGAGCGAGCGGGAGAGGGGAGAGGGAGAGGAAGGGACAGGGTCAGGGAGAGGAAGGGAGAGAGGGAGAGAGAGAGAGACTGAGCGTTCCTCTTCTGCCACTGTGTTCCAGCCATCACTCGTTTTCACGAGAAAGTCGGGGTTTCCATGTTGCAAGCAAAAGAGGCCTGGGCTTGTGTGGGGTGGGTGGGGGGGGGGAAGGAATAGAGGGAGGCAGTTCAAGCAATCAAATATTACGTATCTATTTAGGACGACTAACGGAGGCATCATATCAGAAGTAGATAATAGGGAATTCCCTATTATCTACTTCTGATCATATTAATGGGACGAATGTAGATTTTGTTTGTTGATCGGAACAAAAACGAAAATGTTGTATTTAGCGGAATTTTTCTGAAAGATGTCTGTCCAATTATAGAAATTCGCTGGAAACGGACCAATAGAGATGTGGAAGAGAATTGTTGGAAATGTTCCAAAACGATGCTGTCGATACCATATAAGGCATTATATAATGTCACTAGTTAATAGAATCTCGTTTCATCCTCGAGTCTCTGAATCAACACTTGAAAGTATGCGTCCTCGACAGTTAGTTATCTCGTGGACCTGTGCCTCTGTGCGTCTCCTGTGAACCCCATCCGTCTCTACGCGTCTCTCACTGCCAGCTCATCCGCGTTACCATGGCAACGCTTGCTTCGCCGTCAGTGTGCGGGCCGCCATTGGTCAGCAGCACAAAGAAATCAATAAGCAACGGGAGGGGCGAAAGGAGAGCTTGCGCATGCTGGCGCCGTGCGTGCGTGCGTGCGTGCATAGTGCATGTGTATCTGCATGGTTAGAGCATGTGTGTGCATGGGCACGTGTTTAGTGCGTGTAAGCTGCGTGCATGCACGCGCGCGCGTCCGGCGTGTGTCTACGGCGACGCTGGAATGTTCCATCGTCAGACACTCGTCCGACGGAGCTAATTCACTTTCCGATACCTTCATTTCGTGTACTGCTCGTTAGCATTTCTCGAGTGTGAATGCGTGCGTGCGTGTGTGCGTGCGCGCGTGCGTGCGTGCGCGTGTATGTGTGTGCTGTAACCCGCCTTGCTCACGACGTGCCATGCGTCGCCGCCGTCCCGCCGTGCGCGCGCACGCCCTCGCCGCTCGGGAGAGAGCAAAAACAGCGTGCACGCGCGCGCGGCGGGTAGACGCGTGGCGTTACCTACGTGACGACGACGAGTGAGGCGCAGACGCGTACAGAGATTTAAACGCATATATATATATATATATATATATATACGGCTCAACTAACCCCCGTGCAGTACAAGAATGGAAGCCCTAGATTTTTAAAATGTATAATTATTAATTATTGCAACGTAAATATTGCAATGTAAATGCTGCAGAGTATATGTCTAATGTGCACTTTACAAGGTAATATGCCCAGTGTGCATGTTGCAAATTATGTACGATGTACGTATATTGTAAAATGCTAATCTACGTCTAGTGTGTATATATTTCAATTTACGTCTAAGGTATGTAATATATTGCGCCGCACGTCTTGCATGTATATATATATTTAGTAATTTACATCTACTTGTGTATGTTGTTGCGGCGCTAGTGTCTAGTGCTATATATTGCGAGCTATGATATATTGAGAGTGATGATTGTGAGTGAGGTATGAATGGCAAGTCACATCACCTGTGTGTGCGCGCGCGCCCGGATACGGCGGCGGCGGCGGCGGCGGCGGCGGCGGCCGTAGCCGTGGCGACGCAGAGGGATGCGAGTGCGAGGTTTTAATTACAGGTGCCGCTGCCGCCGCCGCTGATGGCTATTTAATGGCGGGAGATGAATGGCGGCTCGGGGCGCGCGCAGGCGACATGCTAGGATGTGGGTAATTACTGCTTACTGGCTGAGTGCTGCTCTCCCGCGCGCTGCCCCCTGCCCCTCACCCTCCCGGTCCCCCTACCCCTCACCCTCTCGGTCCACCCACCCCTGACCCTCCCGGTCCACCCACCCCTCACTCTCCCGGTCCACCCACCCCTGACCCTCCCGGTCCACCCCACCCCTCACCCTCTCGGTCCACCCACCCCTAGTGTCAACGTAGCTTTCAACTACAGCGTCAACGTAGCGTCACATCACATCGTGTCAACAGTAGCTTCAACACACGTCAACGTTAGCATGCACACACACACGTCAACGTAGCGTTCACACACAAGTTCAACGTAGGCACACTACACACTGTCAACGTAGCGTCACACACACGGTGTCATAACGTGGCTTCACACACGTCAAGTTGTAGCGTCACACACAGTCAACGTAAGCACCACAACACGTCAACGTAGCGCACCAACACACAGTCACGTAGCGTCACACACACAATCTCAACGAGCATCAATCGCACGTCAACTGGTAGCACCACAACCACGTCAACGTAGCATCACACACGTCTAACCTAGCATCACTACCACACGTGTCAACGTAGGCGTCAATCACACGTCCAAACGTGAACAGTTCACAGCCTGGCCGACACGTCAACGTAGCGTCATCACACACACGTGTCAAACAGTATCTTCACATCAGCGCTACGTCTCTCAACGTAGCGTCACACACTCAACTAGCGTCAACACAACCACGTCAACGGTAGCGTCACATCACATCAATAGCATCACATCACAAAGTTGTCACGGTACACCACACCGTCACGTAGCGTCACATTCACCGTCCAACCCGTAGCAACCACACACATTCAACATATGCGTCACAACACTACTGCAACGTAGCTTCACATCACGTCAACGGTAGCGTCAACACACGTCAACCGTTAGCACCACACACGTCAATGTACAGCGTCAACAACACATGTCAACGTCGATTAATGCACACACATGACATGTGCTGCACACACCTGAATAATGTTTGATTCCATTACACCCGGATAATGTGCGTGTCCACACACATGACAATTGTGGGTCCACAACGCATTGACAATGTGTGTCACATCACATGACATGTGGTGTCACACAACATCAAC